TATTTTTTTATCTGCTGGACTGTTGTTATGCTAGTATTTTTTGCCATCATTCTGCCCCCCTTAAGTCTGTTTGACCTTCTTTTGTCCTTGGGAATGAGGCCATAAACTCTTTGAACATATAAGATGACAATGCTTTTCTCTTTTCTGTCACCCTGTCTGGTGTCACCTTCAAACTGATGAAGAGCTCTGGGTTCATAATTGGAATTCTCTAGGACTTTAGACAATGTGTGCATGTATGACAAGCAGCCATTGACTGAGAGATAGAGCATGAAGAAATAGAGGATCTATGTCTTTGTTTGTATCTTGTGTAAACAAGCAGTATGCCTGTCTATGGTGGTTTAAGCAGCTAACAGATGCTTGTGTGGGTGTAGAATTGATTCTAAATTGTAAAACCATTTGGTATGACAGTGGTATCTGTTTTATGATAATGATGAGTAGTAATCCTAAATCAATTAAACTATGTTCTCCCCTCTGGCCATAAGATTATTTAAAGACAAGTGATAAACTGGCAAAACAAGAAGAGAGGAGTTTTGCATCATCCTGAAAGGGTTTAGTTTGCATTAATGAGAAGCCGTCAACATTATTTAGCTTATTACATGGCTTCATGCTGAATAAATAAATACATAGACATTACTGAGAAAAAGTAGTCCTTTAATGTTGCAAACGATTAGCCTAGTAACAAGACAAACACTTGTTACACTATTAATTTACAGTATATTAATAAAAACAGCAATTGTACTCTTTGTATGGAGTTTGATAATATAATTAGCTACTATGTAGCTTAGCTACTCTTTCAAGTTTTCTCTCCTCTAGCTCTTCTATTTGTGTATCTTGCCGGTTTGTTGTTTTTGACATGTTTTAAATTCATTGATTTAACTTGTACTCCTGAGCTTCTAGCATCTATCACAGGTTTTAAGGTGCCTTTTAATAAATTAATAATTATGTTCCATTTTTCTTTCCATTTCAGTAGTCATAGCAACCGCTTTGAGTCACAAGATGGCGCCAATGAGCTATTCTACTCTTTCACATGCAGTAATGTGAAAGAGGGACATGAAAGATGTGAAAATAGTTTATCCATTCCGTATACATTGTATATATTTATAATTGATCATTCACAATTTATTATTATTATTACTATTAATTATCTTATGTTCTACATAAGAAATAAAGTCATTCAGATTTGAAACCACATGAGGGTGAGTAAAAGTTCATTTTTGGGTGAACTATAATAATAATAATAATAATAATAATAATAATAATAAAAGTGACTATTTATTTGACACTGATGTTGGTCATATTGCTGTTCTTTTCTGTTTAAGACTTGGGACCATCTATTACACTGATTTACAATTATGTGGTGGTCTGGACAATCAAAATCACATTTTCTTCTTCTTCTTTTTAATAGTATGTAGTTAGATTCCTGACAATTTTATTTGACTAACAACACATCTATAAAAAATGATGACATATTCACAAGAGGGCGATGTTTAACCATTTACGTTTTAGTTTTGTTGCCCAAATATGTTTCGGATCAGTGTGGAGTAGCTGGTAAAAGTGCACAAGCACATCAGTTCAACCTTCATGCCCAACACTCACACACAGGTACATTTCATATAAATATTTTTAAATATTCTATCAGTTGTGTGCTGTGTATTGTAACAATTATGTATGTATGGGGGTGGGGGATGAAAGAAACAGATTATAATTAGTTGATCTGGGTATTTATCATTCGCTTCCACACTAGAGGCTGTATATATATCAATGAAAGATATTTTTTCTCTCTCTCTCTCTCTCTCTCTCTCTCTCTCTGTGTGTGTGTGTGTGTGTGTGTGTGTGTGTGTCAATGTCCTGTTGGATCTCACGAAGGACACAATAATGGAAGTATAATTTATAAAGAATAAATTATATTTTCCCTCTAGGCTATGGTAAAGTAGATTTCAACTCCTCCACGGTTCTTGTTCTGTTATTACACTACATTAGCAAAAAGTATAGAATATACCATACTATAGCAAGGTAGTATGCTACCTAGTAGTATTTTTTTTTTTTTTTTTAAGTGTTTTATTAAGTGTTAAGCTACCACAGTAATACCATGGCCATTTAAAAATCATGATATTTTTAAGTGTCTTCGTGGTTGTGGTTACCATTCATTCCCATGATATAGCCTATATCAAAATACTTCTGGTACTATGGTATTCCACTTGTGCTACTCACTTACTACATTTCTCCCTCACACACCTGCCATTTGATCGAGTTCTGACCATTAGTTAACAAGTAGAAACAGTGCATCTGTCACGTCACAGTGAGCTCATGATGCAAGATGAAGAGAGGATACTTTGACGCTTGTTCTGACGTCACGCCGATGCAGATCCTTAAGGCGGGAGAAATGTTAACCATAGAGGCTTATTCAGATGGTTCATGTGAAATCATGTCCTAATCACGTTGATTAATTAATTAGAGCTGGATGAGAGTACTCAAAGCAGCAGCACTGAATGTAAATTCAGTACAGACAAAGCGTCAGTATGTGAAAACGTGAACATAAGGGATGGTAAAGCCACCGGAGGTAGTGCTAAGAATGGCAATCAATCTGCGGTAGCTGTTAAATGTGTGTGCGTGTGGCAAGCTGGGTTCACATTTATTCCTTAAAACTAACGTGTCTATTTCGTTACTAGTACTTATTGTCTAATTACTAGTAAGTTTCATACAAATAAATAAATAAATAAAGCAACATTTTAAACAAAAAACTGAGAAAATCACATTTTTGTGAAAGAATATGTCTGGATCGGTTTCAGAATGATGATCAAAACATAGATGGAGCATATCCCATCCATCAACACCCCCAAAGCTTGCACAGTCCTAGATTCGGTAACATTAGGCATTTTTGATTCATATGCTGTTTAATGTTTGATGATCGCATTATTTTACATATGTATCTGTTTACATATGTGATCGCTTGTTTCTGCTTCTTCACTGTGTTTTAAACCAGATATTCATACTCTTTCAGAAGATGTGTAATAGCGCCTCCTACTGTATAACAGTGAAAACACGTAAAGCCAGAAAATTCCATTAATGGCAGGGAAGTGTCATCTAATAGATGAGAGAAAATTCTGTCAATGGCGGGAAAATAGTTCATTTTACCACTAGTGACCTTTACTATATTTTACCAAAGACTATAGAATACCCAAGACATGTCTCTTGTATAGTTTTTAATGGGGAAAAATGCAACTCTCAATATGGCCGCTCTATAAAAAGAGGCAATCGCTAATCTGTAAAGTCAACGTGTCACTGCAGCTGCTATTAGAAGTCCCGGTTGCTATAAAAAAGTCAGCATTCTGAGATGTGTGCTTAGGACTGCGCATGCGCACTGGGCTGCGTTTCCCAAAAGCTTCGTAAGCCTAAGAAATTCGTAAAAACGATCGTACGACTTATCTTAATATTACGGCCTGTTTCCCAAAAGCATCATAACTTAAGTAGCACTTGAAAATCATCGCAGATCTTCGAGTGCTCTGGAGTAATCGTAAAGCCCTAAGTGTATCGTAAGAAGACAGATTTATGCGGTCACCTGCAGGACAAACGGTAGATTACACCTTTAACTTTATTCAAGTGCAATGTGATTATAATATAGCCTAAAGTTTTGATTGTACTTTATTGTAAACTTTATTACTCGTTTTTTATAAATTTATAAATGAAATCATTAAAAAGGGCAGAAAAAAATAGAAATACCCATCTAAATTAAATGACTGAACAAAAAAAATGAATAAAAGAAGTAATCTAAATATGCTTCAAAGACTGGAGGGAAAATCTGTCAATGACTTACTGACATGCACGAAAACCAATGTATTGGACCCGGAAATAACATCTCTATATAGATATTATATACTATAATATATATTTTTATATAAAGTATATTATAGGCCATATTATTATGTAAAGTATAATATTATACATATAATATAATATAATATAATATAATAGTTATTATATCCGAGTTGTCTGGAACTCAGCATTATGTTAACATTTCAATAAACGAGCGTGTACTACAATTACGAGTCATTCTATGAGGTGACATTTCAGCACTTGACAAACGGATAGCGACTCCTAAGTAGCACTTAAAGCACGGCTACGTGCGATTGCGTTAAGTGCATTTTTGGGAAACGCACGTGAAACAATAACGAACGATCGTAAAATGACTCGTAGAAAACGCTCTTAAGTGCTAAGATCAATCGTTATCGAGAAACGCAGCCCTGGCTGGTCTAGCCTGAAAATAAGATTTTTTTAAACATTATTTAAGCAAAATAAAAACTTTTAGTTTAACATGTACCTGTTTCACCTCACAAAAAAAGGGACTCACCTTGCTCTTAAATCCCCCCCCCCAAAAAAACCCACTGAGGCAAACAATCATACATTTTTTTATTCCTAATTAACAAAATTACATAATAGACACAACAATGTGCAGGCCTATTAGAATTGCTGATAATAGCTCTTAAGTTACTAATAATATGATACATAATGATAAATAAGCGGAATAAATACCAGCGAATGATAAAATGTAGGCTATATAAGTGAGAGTGAACTGATATTTGAACCATATACAATGACAGGAATTTGCCATTTGTTTATAGTAAAAAGGGTATGGGCTACTTTTTACTGTTGGGATGGTGACTAGCAAAGGAACAGGTACTAGTATCCAATAGTTATTAGTGAAACTGAAACATTTAGGAGACTTGAAATTACTTGGAAACTATTGGAGGCTAGTTTTGAAAAATAAATGTGTAAACGGCTTGCCATAGCGCGTTCGTGTGTGTGTGTGTGTGTGTGTGTGTGGGAGAGAGAGAGAGAGAGAGAGAGAGAGAGAGAGAGAGAGAGAGAGAGAGAGAGAGAGAGAGAGAGAGAGAGAGAGAGAGAGAGAGAGAGAGAGAGAGAGAGAGAGAGAGAGAGAGAGAGAGAGAGAGAGAGAGAGAGAGAGAGAGAATGAGAGAGGCGGACTTCGGGATTCTGGACTCCTGAATCTTGACAGCTCTGCGTGAAGTGCGGAATGGATATCTGAGAGGCATGCACATCTTCATTGTTCACAAGTGGGAATAATAATTATTATTATTATCGCTATTATTAGATAGCGGTGAGAGAAACTGAGAAGAATCTTAATTATTTTCCCACTTTTACACAGAAGAAGAGGACTCGTTTATGAGTGAGACAGACTGAGAGCAAATGAGAAGTCGTGCCACCGGATGATTTTTATTATTTGGTGTTTTTTAATGCACGAACGGACTCTGAAATGGGTCGCCATGACGACAGAGCGCTGAGTTAGCCGCTAATGCGTTATACGCATTTGTTTCTGTTATTGTTTTATTTTATCATTTCCCTACCTCCTTTATAGTGATAAAATATGTTGTAACCTCGCCGCCAGAAGACACAGGTGTTGTCAGCTAAAAAGAAAGGAAAAAAGGAGGAGGAGGTGTTTATTCCCCTTTCTTTTGTCCATGTCTTCATTTTCCATATCCTCCTTCCTTTTTATCTTCTTTCTTTTCTTTCCATTTTTCTTTTATTGTGGGGACGCCGACTGACGCAAAGAAGGTAAATTGATGTGCGAGAGCCTGCGACACATTCATGACGAATTACCTCAGAAAAAAAAACCAATGGCATAAACACCGGCTTCACCACTGAGGCACGAATAATCACCGGGAAAGAACCGGAGACGCATCGACTTCAACCCTTTCATCGCGGTAAGCGGGTTTCTGATGTCTGTTATTATAAAAAATACATGTATATTCGTACGACGTGCGCGAGTAACGCGTCTGTATCGGTTTGGCGCACCGTTCACGAATGAGATGTCTAATTATAAGTGTTAAATAAAGGTGCGCTTTGGTCAGGCAGTACCGACTGCCATGGCCTGTTGATGAGAAAATAGAGGTTTTATGATTGACACATTTGGCTAATATCCGCATATGCTACTATTTTATTCTGGCATGTCTCATCTACTTCAAAGAAAAACGACGCGTTCATCAGATCTAGATCAAATGATCTCGACGCGACGTTGTCGCGTGGTCTTTCCCGGCCATTTGCGCCTCTAATTGCATCCATCGCTCGTCATTCTGGCAACGTGAGGATTGATTTATTTTTGCACTTGATAGATAATGGTAATGCGCCCTGAATGATGGCAAACATCCGCAACCCACGGACTTCCCATCGCCTATTAAATGTTTAATGGCATTTACGTAAGTGTGAGATAGGATGGAGCACAGACAACCCACCTAACCCAACTGCACACCCATGACGCCCATGCACGCATAGGTATGGAGGTGTTTAGGAAGCCATGGCTGTCACAGAGGGGCACATTTATATGCTGTGGTGGTTGGGCAGTGCTTTTTCAATGGCAGAATTCAGCACAGACAAGGAGTCCTCTGTTCTCTTGAAGGCTGAGGATGTGCCCGTTCCCAACCAAAGTGCTGGTTGATCGGTCTAATGTCTGATATGACCCGATGTAGATCGTTTAGTGCTACTAAATCTGTCTGCTGTCCTTGTATGATGTAGCAGAGGTGAGGTCAACATGCTGCTCAAAGCTTTCCATTCTTCGCTGGAGTTCTGCTGCAGTCCCTCACGTGGATTGAGGAAAAACTAGTAGTTGATTTCAGAGCATGTGTCTGTGTGGAGCATTCGGCCTTCAGCCTTCATGTGTGTTACTGTGCACATCCATCATACTGTCTTATATGATATAAAAAGGCAAAAAAAAAAAAAACCCTGCTTGGCGACCCACTCATAAGAGGACAAAAAATCTATAAAATTATACCAAGGGGCAAGTATTTGTATGAATCAAATCTTTAGACTTTGGTTTTCTGTTGATTTGACAGATATAAATAAGCTATGATATATTGTTTTGGATCATTTAGAAAAAGAAAGGGATACTAATAAGGACTGGAAGAACCGGAAAGAAAAAGTTTTAAAGTGCTTCAGACCAGGTGAAAGACGTAAGTGATCATTTAGGTTTAAAATGACATTCTATATGTAATTCAATAGAATAGTTGTTATAAAATTGTACATTTCATTCGGTGACCACTGTGTTTTTCACATTGCAAGAGCAAAATACAAAGAAAAGGCCAAAAGAAGCTACAACAAAGCACTTGTTAGAGACTAATAGAACTCCTGTTATAATAATGTCATAAAATACCATTCAGGTCTGATTGGCGGATAATGATAATTTGTTAGAAAATCTTTGCTTTAACTGAATTTTTGCTTGTTGGGTATTCAGGGTCTTGCATTGTTTGCTCTATTGGTACAGTACAAGTACACTATTACCCTTCTAAACACTCATTCATTTTTCTGCTGTGTTCAACTGAATGCTCACATCAAACCTGATTTTTAATTAGTCTTACAATATGTTGATAGATGGATGAAGCACAGCCAGAATGCCCTGAAGTCAAGGCAAATGGCCTTCATTATTATGAGTGGAACAACACAGAGTGCTGTATACCCAGGGCTGGAGAATTGCTTGTGTCTTATGTTGTCCCAGGCCTCAGAACAGGTAAATAATGAAGAAAAGTGCAGTGTTAGCTTGATGTAACCCCCTCCATGTGCCCTTCTGTGCAGCCTGTGGTTTGTGTGTGTACGCCGTCTTGGGAAGCACTCACATGGACTGCAGCCTTATTAAACATTAAAATTCTCTGTGCACTGGGCAAAACTGAAAGAAATGGGTTTTAGACTTGTCCCCTTTAAAATAGAGTTTGTGAATAAATCAGAAACATCCATATTGTTTCTGGCGCATGATGGACAGCTGTAATTTTGAGAACAGAACAGAGGGTTTGATTCAGAGTGCTTTACTTATTCACTTATGCAAAAGAGGGATGATTATATTAACAATTCATGATGACAGTAACAGTGTTTCCTTTCTTTCACTCCAAGGAATACTCAAGGTCAGAGCATCTTTTTTTTGTTGTTCATTCACACATGCACAACAGTATTTGTCAGACACTATTCTGTGTCCATTCAGAATTTATTGGAAAGCTTTCATCTCCCACAAAATCCCGACCTCTGTCTAGTCTTGTAAACAAAATGTCAGTGAAGTTGCAAAATACCGCTTTTTATTCAACATTATTATCTCTTTGCCCTAGGATGCAGCATTTGAGCATACAATTGTCCAGATAAGCATTTCTGAATGTTTATGCCTCGCAAAAGCGAGCATTATAAACCATCGCTCTCCTTGAAGTGTCACGCAACCCTTCTTTTACATCTTTCAAAGTGGACCGTGACCCGTGAGTTGGTAGCAGTTGATTTTCTGCAACAATGTCTAATCACGGTACACGCTTTCTGAACTCCACTTTGTTGTAGTACAGTTGTAGTACTGTTGCATTGTGTGGCCTGATGTGCTCAGACATCTGTGTGCCATTATCTCTGTCCCAGCATGTGCAGCATGATCCGCTCACTGTAGACAGCATCGCCACAAGCAATGAATCATCGGCTGAACCTGACAGCCTCTTCCCGTCTAGATCTATATTTCAGCCTCAACACATGATATGTGGTGCCCGTGTCCCGACAGAGTCCTGCCGCTGTTCTGAGCAGTAAATGCACTAATAAAGCAGCAATCTCCCCTCGTACCTTTACCTGGAGGTGTGTATTTGCACCTAGCTCCTTTCAGAAGAGTGCTGAGTCAAGTTTTCTTCTTGTCCTACGTGACGGATGCAGAGACATTTTGTTAGAGAAGCTCTGGACTGACTTTACGGCTCTCTCAAATAATTCCTGTCCTTCAGAAGTCTGGAATCCACAGATAGACGTGCTAAATGCCACATCTGTGGTCTATCTTGGATAGCAATGAAAAGGCCGAAGTGTCCACTCATCTCGAGTTTTGCTCAGGTCTGAAAGAACATGTAATCTGTCAGGAAGATATTTTTAAGGATGGTGCTGAGCTTTAAAGTTGCCTAGAACATGGTGATCCCTCGCTCTTTAGTGTGCAGCCTGAATCTGAAAGAAACTGGGAGGGAAATGAACAAAAAGGACAGGAGTAAATGGAGAAAGACACAAGTGAAGTCAGTGGATCACCCTGTGGTTTTCAAGGAGTTACTTTTTTTTTTTTTGGTGGGAAAACGGATTCATGTCGCTTGGAAAAAAAAAAGTTTTCCCTGTTCTTCTGAAAACTGCATTTAATTATTAATTTGTTTGGAGATCCATATCACAGCTGGGGCTACATTGCCACTTTAGAGGAGTGATGGAGATTCATTAGTCCTGGAAAAACTCCAAACAAACATGCCAGTGACAGGAAACAGACGAATGGACGATCCCTTTCCATCCAGTATTCCTTGATTTAGTCAGAATTCGCTCTGTTAAGCTCTCAGGTTTAGTAAAGCTTCTGTGCACTTTTAGTGTGCTGCCTTCCTTCATTATCTTACCCTAATGGCATAAATCCAGCGTTACGAATTAATTACAGAATGTAAAATGTGTCCTATTTCAGGCACAGTAAGTTGCCCTGAAGGTGAGCATCTGGCTTTGTTGCAGTGTGTTTTTAGAGTGGAAAATGCACCAAAAAATGATGTTGAAGACATGTCCAAGTAGGAGTTTGTCAAGGATGTATGTTTAATAACTCATCCGCCCATACAAGAAGACTCGAGTGAACGTTGACACTCTCGAACTGATATTGACATTCTGCAGGTTAATTTCAAGCCAATTATGGACGAGGTGATGATTGTAAAATTGCGTATTGATCTGGGCTTTTAGTGTGGACCCTCGCGCCCTTGAGTGTTGAACATAGTCGAGTGCTGCCCGGTGTAATCACATCAAGAAACCTCCCCAAGATTCCTCCTCACGCTTCCTCTCTTCATTCTGAATGTTGATTGTCTCAGTCTCTCTGCAACACAATCCATCCCTCCTCACCCAATGTCTTCAACAGACGAAAGTTCCTAGACCTTGTCCAACAGGCTTTGAGAGATTTAAGAGATTTTTGATGGTTGGGACCTACAAGGAAGGCGAATTCTGCAGTGGTGTAATGTAACAAAGTAATAATACTTCGTTACAGTACTTAAGTATTTTTTGGTAGTATCTGTACTTTACTTGAATTTTTATATTTCAGCCAACTTTTACTTTTACTCCACTACATTTCCTAATTAAAATGTATACTTTTACTCCGATACATTTCCCCAAAGCATATTCGTTACTAACTACAAAATAGTCAGAAGTCAGAAGAACACGGACTGCGGGAAAGCAGGTTTGACGAATCAGTGGTCTGGCATTTGCAAGTTAGAGATAATATGGTAAGTGTTGTTGTAATGATGTGCGATCTGACATTATCAAGTAGGCTATATCACCAGATCACACACAGAGTGCACGCACATTGATTTATTAGTCTTTTTTTTCAAACTCAAAATTCATTCAAGGCATCGGGATTCTTTTTATATTTATATAATTTAATGTAGTTAACTTAATCTATATCACACAAAGAGTACCATTTTTCTGCAGATATCAGCATCAACA